CCCCCCCAGTCCCCATTCTATCCTCAAAACCCTACGCGCCAAGTAAGGCTGAGTGACTAGACTAGACTCACCCAAGGTCAAATATCGAGTGCATATTTAAAACGCAGGTCTCCCTGGTCGCAGTCTAGTGCCCCACTCCACTGTGGCCCTCCTTCAGTAGTTATGTTTTGCAATGCTTGAAGTAGATGTTGGGAGAACAGACGACAGACAGTAACCCCCCCCCCCACTATATAAGACTGTTTTGTCTTAAAGACATTAAACACAGCTATTTTCAGCATCGGTCCACGCCTACCAAAATTCTGATTTGTCCCCTCTCAAGCAAAATCCTGATGTTGTATATCGGAAGCGCCACGTAGCATGTTCTCCACATACACGCAGTAAAAGTTAATAGCTAAAAAAGGGCTTACATGACAGTAGTTCTCAAACTCCCAGCACAGTAAAACAAAACAACAGGTTCATTTTCTCATAGCACAATACGGGAAATGCACTAATCAGGATCGGGAGGACTTCAAAACGTTTAAGGACGAAGGTTCTTTGGTGTTGTTAGTGACCAAAGTCTAAACCCCAAAACTACATTGTATGGAACAGTTGGAAGCAGTTACAGGAATAAGTTACATGTTATTAAAAGTACAGAAAGAAAGAACACACAGAGATTCTCCATCCGTGGGTTATCCCTTTCAACTACATGTTATTGGGCTATAAATGGAAAAAATCTGCTGTTCACCATTTGTAACACAGAAAGTCACACATGTATTCGTAATGGCATCTCCAATTAAAATGAGTGCTTAAAAAAAAAACAACAAATCACTTGACAGTACTTTTCAGCAGGCTCTCGATGAGTGGTGGCACTCTATACCAGTGTGCCCTCTAAGCTGAGTTAGTGTGAGCTAGCTCACAGTCTTTTAGCCTCTGGCTCACATGTTTTTGTCTTAGCTCCGGAAGGAGGGCACCAGAGCAAACTAATTTTTGCAGCAGCCAAATCGCTCACTCACAACTTGAATGCCAGTAGCTCACAGAGTAGAATTTTTGCTCACAAAACTCTACAGCTTAGAGGGAGCATTGCTCTATACAGCAGTGTTTTCTAATTTCAGCATCAGCAAGAACTATTATGGTATTCAGTTGACAAAACGGCTAGGTGCTCTACAGCATGTTCGTGCCACATATTAGACACCAATACATAAACGTCCAACTTAAAATCTACAGTTCAAGTATCTCAAGGCAGCCAGCAAGACAAGCAGTGCAGGGCACTAGGCAGACCACTGTTCAAGCTGTGTGAAGTGTCCATTCTAAACAGGAATCCTCCATCAGTAAACTTCCATTAAGAAAGCAGAGGACTGCATAGGCCCAGTCTACAAACCGCTTCCACCAGAGTAGAATACCAGGATATCTGAGGAAGTACAGAGAAGTCACACGTTTTGCTGGAACACTCGGCTTACTACAGAATTTGGACTGTTCTGTCAGACTCTCATAATGGGTTGGATCCAGCCAGCTTTCCCCTTTGAATCTAACCTAATTCCCCTCCTTACGACAACCTCCATGTCACGTGACTTTTGTCCATGCATGTCCCATGAGTCCCCTCCCCCAAATAATAGCTTTTCTAGTAGTTTTTCTTATTTCCCCAGCAAGAAATGCTGGTTGAATCCAACCACATATTCTCACATCCAAGTATTCCCTCTGTAACTATATGGCAGCCTCCATTAATGTTTCTATTCTATGTAAAATAGCAAGACTCTTGAAATCAGTTGTGGCTCAGCAGTTTTGCACTCAATATTGATTATTTTGGAAACGTACTGGAATGCGACAGAAGGCCATTAACAGCGGGGAAAATCTAACATACATTATGAAGGAACACAAAAATAGGTGACTTCAGAAGGGATCTGGCTCAGTGGGGAGAGCATCTGCTTGGCACGCAGAAGGCTCCATCCCCAGCATCTCCAGTTTAAACAGGATCTGGCAGTACATGATGTGAAAGACCTCTGTATAAAACTGCAGAGAGCTGCTGCCATTCCAAGTGAACAATACTGTGATGGTGGACCAAGGGCGTGCTTCAGTAGAAGGCAGTTTTATATGTTTAGACAGTCGTCACTGGAACTTAACAAGATCATGTTTGGGGCACCCATAAGGAATGTGGTCACACACACTAAACAATCCACTTTCAAGTAAGCATTTTCCGACTAGAATTTATGGTGTGCACTGGCAAAATCCAGTTGGAAAGTGCACTGAAAGCAGATTGAAAGTGGATTATTTAGTGTGTGTGTGTGACCGCAGCCAAGGAAAGCTTCTCTTCCACAGTACGGCAAGAGTCGCCGGAAAAGACAATAATGCGAGGAAAAGCTGAAGGCAACAGGAAAAGAGGACAACCCAACATGAGGTGGATTGACTCCATCCAGGAACCCGCGGCGGCCCTCAGACTGCCAGACTTGAGAAAGGCTGTAAATGACATAACAGTTCTGGAAGACATCAATTCACAGAGCCACCCGGAGTCAAAAGCAACTTTAGGGCACTTCACAAACCACACACCCCATGGGCGCTATGGGACGGCAGAAGCTACTTTTAGTTTAAAGAACGAGGACACCCTTTGTGTCCTAGGAGGCTGTGTCTTAATATGTCTTACTCAAAGGATCGGCAGGCACAAGAGTCTTAATCGGCCTCTTTCCCGGGGCTTCCCCCCCCAGAAGCCGATTAACCTAAACCAGGTCACAGAGCTAAAAGGGCTCAGGCCGCGCCCAGTGGTAAAGCCAGCTCGCAAAGGGGGCCGAGGAAGGCGCCCTAATTGTACAAACACTCGCTACACCTGCTCGGCGAGCGAGGAAGAGACATCAACCGGCACCACCAGGGCTCCTTGCTCACTCGCCGCTTCGCACCACTCCAGACGGAGACACACACGCATGCCCGCTCGGCTTTGCCCGCCTCACGTCTGACGTCACGGAGCAGTGGGCGGGGAGTTCGGAACGTTGAGGAGACGAGGATTCTAGCAAGCCCAGGCCCTTCGCTTTGTGACGTCACTAGCACAAGAACCTGGCCCCGACCGGGTGAGGTGGCCTGCGGCCCCGGGGGCTCGCATTGACATTTCGCATCACCTGTTGCTGCCGTGGCGGAGGATGCACGGGGGGAGCGGGGGGTGTGGGCGGAGGAGGAGGAGGAGGAGGCCGGGGAGGTCCAAGGCAGCAGCAGCAGCAGCAGCCGCCAGCAGCAGCCATGCTTGCTGTCTGTGATCGCTACTCCCTGCAACGACAGAGGAAGAGCCCCCCTATCCGCCGCCGCCTCCTTCACCTCCTCGCAGCAGCGATTATTTCCAAGTTGGCGAACCAAAACTTGTAGGGGGGACGGGGGGGACACGCAGAATAGGCGCTGTGTCCCTCCTGCCGGCGTGGCGTACCTTTCCAAACGGAACCGGAGGGGGGGAAAGGAGTGGCGCGACTCCCTAGTTTTTGCAGCGAGCTTGCACGGGGGCTGACGGGCATTGCATTGTTCGCCCGTGGAGACGCGGAATGGCTCGAAACAGATTTGGGCCATTGGAGAACGAAACGCAGGGAAAGGCTCCATATCCCCACCACCACCACCACCCCCTTCCTGCTTTGTCTCGCTTGCACGGCTTAACGTCCACACCTCGCAGGCTCCGTCAGGAAAGAAGACTCCCTCTAACAACAGCCCCTCTTCTCCTCTCGCTTTTTAACAAAAAAAAACACACACTTTAAAGTCGCCCTGTGCTTAGACTTCTCAGCCGCCTCTGCAATGCGGATGTATTTTTAATAAGTAAAGTCGTCGGGGAGGATCGCTTAAAGTTTCCCATTATTGTCTGATCTCCACGTTTCTCCGAAATGCATTTTTTTTCCTCCCAGACCGCCGAAACAGTGGCTTTATAAAAAAGAAAATACACGTTTATTTGAAACAACGGAGGAAGATTTGGAAGGCATCCCCTCCCCCCGCCCCCCCCGCACGAGACACACAAGAAAATCCCGTTCTCCGACACGACAGACGTACCATATTGCACAGAACTTTGGCGTCATCTATACGTAACTCACCTAAAAGAACTACCAGATTTATTTTTTTAAAGCATTTCAAATAATGTTGAGTTGTTGGAGGGGGGGGGGGGGCCAGTCGCCATTAAGTCTACCGCATATCTGACTAATCCACTCCAGCTTTCGCAAACTTAAAAAGCACCACCACCACCATTCCCAGCCAAAACATAACTAGACCCAAGAAAGCCACGATTCCTACGCCTTCATATGCAATTACTACAGGCCAAGTGGTCGACTCTTAACAGAAACAGGCAGACGCCGCTGTCCTCCTAGACGGTATTCTCTTCCAACTGCAGAGTGTGGCACTGAATGTTAAAGCCATTTCCCTCCCGGGGAAGGACAAGAAGATCGCAGACACCCCGAGCCATTCCCCCCCACACACACACACGTTGAAGCCAAGGCCCAGTATCCACATTCCTCGTAACACGATCCCCCAACTGGTTTGGTGCTCTCGCCAAACCAGATAATCACAGACCCTGGGGGACTCCACAGCGAAAGCTCGCCAGACCCAGACCTTAGATTTCAAGTTCAGATTGCCACCGAACCAACCGCGGGGCCTCCCGAAATTTCCCCCAACAGACGCTATAAATAACGTGGCCCCGTTTGCATGCAAAACTGTGCGAGATCTGAGTTGAAACCCGTTGCACGAAAAGCAGTGGCGTTGCATTATCGCGGCGGCCCCCTCCGAGCTGCATGTCTCTTCATCTTCTAAAACTAGATTATGATTGTGTCATTTAAGGTCAATACATTTGTTCACGCGAGGTATTCGCTACCTAATTTGTTGCTTTTTTAAAGCCAGAGCTGGAATTAAAGAGGTTTTGAGATTCGCCCATTCCCAGCGGAGGGGAAAACACATTCTGGATATTCTTTAAAACCCACCACCATCTATAAACTTGACATTCACGAGCATTTCATAATAAATGTTTGCAAAAAAAAACAAAATCAAACAGAGAAACGATAGGCTTATAACCCACTTACGTATTTCTTTTGAATAATATTCCTCTTGGGTCTTTCTTTGCTCATTCTGATATCCAGGTTCGGATTGCAAATGGGGGAAACTGCTTCATGAATTAAAAGCCGCAACCAATTTGGAAGGAGGGGAGGAATCCTTTTTTTGTGTGGTTTCTGGTTTGTAGTGGTTTCCTTGTAATCCGATTTTCTTCGCACACAATGCAATTCTCCTTGTAATAAATCCAAAATATGTTGGGTGGCGGGGTCAAAAGAGAAGAAGGCGAAGGAGAAGAAGAAAAGACGGAATATAGGAAGGGGGGGGAAATCTCCACTTTAGAGGGGGACATTCATAATGGAATTTTTACGCCCTTAAACACACACACACAAACACACAAAAAGACGCCCTTGATTGCCCCCCCTTTTTTTTTCACCCTTCCAAAGCCACCAAAAGCGATCTGTAGGCCCGTAATGTCCGAGGTGTAGTTTACATCTTGGGGAAGGGGAGGGGGAGAAGAGAAGGGGGGTGATATTTTCCTTTTTTAAAAAAAAAAATCTTGGAAGTCACGTTTCCACTGCTGCAGCACAAGACAACTCGAGCAGCAGCGCCGGAGCCTTGCACACACACACACACACACACCCCGCACGCACGCGCACACACACACACACAGTATGAGTCTGCTCCTTCAGTCTCCCCCCCAACCAATGAGAGCAGCTCTCCAGCAGCAACTTTAAATGGCCCGATTTTTCTCTTTAAATATTATATTATGTGTGTGTATATATATATATGTGTGTGTGTGTAAATATATATATATATATTTAGAAAGAGAGAGAACGACAGACAGATTGGGG